TCAGCACTATTTGTGGATGAATTCAGCAAAGGAAATTTGGGATAGTGTTGCTGAAACATATTCCCAAAAATTAAATGTGGCCAGGGTTTACAAGTTGAGAAGTGATGTGAAGAATTTGAGACAGGGGGAGAAACCATTAGCTGCATACTTCTCAACACTGAAATTTTTATGGCAAGAAATAGATTTGATAGAAGTTGTAGCCTGGGACATCACTAAGGATGCTAAGACCTACAGAAAACTGGTTGAGAGAAACAGGGTGTTTGAGTTCTTGACAGGGCTAAATCCAAAGTACGACATTACAAAGCAAAATATTTTATCCAAGGATAGTGTCTCACTGTCTCAAGCATATGCCTTGGAAAGTAGTGAAGAAAGCAGAAGACTTGTCCAGGTCCAAGGGGCTGGTCTAAATGATCACTTTGCTAATATGGGAGTGAAACCCAAGGGGGTTGCAGGGACTCCAAGTAGCTCAGGGAAGAAAGAGATTATCTGTGAGTACTGTAAAAAGCCAAAACACACTAAAGACAAGTGCTAGAAATTGCATCCTGAGCTCCTACCACTTTGGTTTCAGAAGAAGTCAGATAATATAAAGGCAAGGAGTGCCAATGTTGTTGTTGGTCCAGATAGTGACAGATACCAAACTGAAGAGATAACGGCTAGTGAGCAGTTAGCAACTATGAAGGCAGAATATGAGAAGTTTGGGAGGATGATCAATCACCTAGAGGGTGTGACCTCTTCTTCCAACCCTCCAGGAAATTCAACCTCTTCGGCATTTGCTTGTGGGTGGCTCTTCTATTCTTTGAGCTCTCTTTTGACATATCTGTAGCTTCAGGCTGCCTCTTGCTCATCCCTTAGCAGCCCAATGAGTGTTTTTGAGTCTCCTTCAACTTCCACTGCCTTCATGTTCATTGCTTTTTCCCTCCTTAAACCTGTAAGTGCTGCTCAAATCGCTTCCCAAATTTAATAAGTGTTCCGCCCTTATTAAACAAAGGTCAATTATGTTTTCTCCACTTTGACTTCTGTTTTCAAAAGTTCTTGAGTTCCACTCTCCCCAAACACTCCATAAAACCACCGCTCTTATATAATGCCATAAAATCCTCCCCTTTTGTCTATATATTAATATGCTAACTTGTGGACAAGTCTAGAACATCAGAAGGGAACCCAAGAAAGAGGTGATTTACACTATCTCCACTCCTCAAGTCCTCAGACAAAGGGTGCCCTCATGAGGTGATATGCGCCAGTTAGTCCTCCTTTTGAACATGTTACCCATGTTTAAAATTTTCAAAGTGGCTTCCCAACAAAAAGCTCACCTTAAGAGGTGAGATCCAATCCAAAGAGTAATAGCTCGAAAAAAAAGGTGTAGAAACATCAAGAGACTTGATGGGGAAAAAAAAAGGAAAATTGACCCAGTGTATCAATAATCCAAACTCTTTAGTCATTGCCATAGATATTAAGAAAAACAAGACTGATCACCTCATGACTTTAATGGTCCCTCACTCCTCTCCTGAAACCCAAATCCCAAAAAAAGGTATAGAAACACCAAGAAGGTTCGCTACCCACCGAGGTTCCAACCAAAATTAGTTTTGTTTCCTGAAATAGCCTAATATGTTCACCTCAAAAAGGTAGTGTAGATAGCCTCAATTGCTTTCCATAGGCATCAAGGAATAACTTCTAGAAGATCCCAATCAAACTGTATTTTTGTCTCCTCAGCCATTTGCCCAATTGAGCTGTATTTTTGTCTTTACTCCTTCCAATTTGTAGACCTCCATCACCTTTGTCTGACATTTTTTTTTATCAATAACAATTTCATTAATTCAACATACGAATAATTACAAAAGGGAAGACAAACTCTCCTATCTTCCAATTACAACTTGAGCCCCCAAGAAAAGAAAAGAAAAGAAAAGGGAAAGGAAGAAACAATAAGATTACAACTTAGCCCAAAACATCGAATCCCTTTCCACCCCTTGTTTAGCTAATCCATCAGCAAAAGAATTAGCTTATCTTTTAACCCAACTCATCTTAACTTCCATCTCTCGCACCAGCCACTTAAATTTACTCCTCTCATTGCTATAATTCCATAAGTCACTGTTGTCTTTATTCAGCCACCCTATCACCACCTCCGAGTCCCCTTCAATTATGAGTTTTTTTATATTCATCTCCTTAGCTTTCTAGACTCCTTCCATAACTGCAAAGATCTCAGCTCTAAGGGAGTCACCCACTCCAATTGGGCCTGAGAACAAGGCAGAAATAACCCCATTCTCATCCCTAAAAACAACCCCATCCCTGATTGTCCAGGATTCCCCCTACTACTACCATCAAAATTTAGTTTTAAGAATCCAGCAGGTGGGGGGTCCAAGACACACTCATTACTGATTTGGTCTGTGTACAGTTTGCAATCTCACCCCACTTCCTCAACATGTTATCCACTGTGTAATCTGTAAACAGCTCTAAGGATTTCAGCCACTGTACAGCCCTTATATGGATTATAGCCCTTAGTCTTCAGCCCCTCTCTCAACTTTCTAAGAAGATCCTGAAATTTCTTTCTTCCCATAATGACCAGCATACTGCAGCCCTAAGTCCTCTCCACATAGTCCTTCCCCTTTTCATACGCCACCTGAAAAAAGAAGGGGAGAAAAGACTTTGCAAGTCTGATGGAGGGTTCCAACTACACCCAAAGAGAGAAAAAGCCCACTCCCAAATTGACTTTGCAAATTGGCAAGACACCAATAAGTGAAAACTAGTCTCCCCATCAGCTTTGCAAAGAACACACCAGTGAGGTGACAAGCAAGTATTGGGTCTCTTCTTTTGGAGCAGATCACCAGTGTTGAATCTTTCCAAATAGGCTTCCCAACAAAAACTACCAACCCTAGGAGGAATTGATATGCACCAAACCTCATTAACAGGGAAAGGGGGGGTTACAGGATTGGTGGACTGGCTTAAGACTATGAAGAAAGAAGCACAAGAAAATGAGCCAGTGGGGGTAGGGGTCCAAATTCTAGAATCCACCTTAGTGGGGTCTAAGAAAACATTATCAAGAAGTTTGAAGAGGCTCGAAATACTATCGAGGTCTGAGTCCCTCACAGCCCTTCTTAGACCCAAGTTCCACCCAAGCCTAGAACTGGAAGAGGAAGAGGTGATGAAAGAAAAAATTGGCTCATTTTTAAAAGCAGATAGGGCATACAAAGAAGGAAACCGGTCCTTTAGAGGGGCATTCCCCACCCAAGTTTGTTCCCAAAATTTTATGGAGTTACCTGAATTCAAATTATACCTAATAAGAGGGAAGAGTACTAGCAGCAAATCATGAAATGGCTTTCCAAGGTGAAGTGCTTGTGGTCCTAGCTCTGATTCTAGCATCCCATCCATTTTGCTCCAGCCCATGTATGCTTGCCACTATTCTAACCCATAGCCTCTCCTTCTCCAATGGGAACCTCCACAACCACTTCCCCAAAAGGGCCATATTCCTTTTTCTAATGTTCCCAAGCCCCAAACCACCACAATTTTTACTCTTGGTCACCACCTCCCAGCTTACCCTATGATCCCTCTTCTCCTCTCCCGGCTCCCAAAGGAAATCTCTCATCATCCTCTCCAATTTGCTAGAAACCTTCACTGGGATTTTGAACACTGACAAGAAATAAATGGGTAAGTTTTCTAGCATGGCCTTAATCAGTGTAGTCCTTCCATCAAGAGAAAGGTAATTATTTTTCCAAGAGACAAGTCTCTTTTCAAATCTTTCCACCACCGAGTTCCAGAAGCTCTCTCTCTTAGGGTTATCACCTAATGGCAACCCTAGATAATTCAATGGCCATCCTAAGACTTCACACCCTAGCACTTCTGCACTCTCCCTAATCTCTCCCTCCTCCATATTCACACCCACTATACAACTTTTCCCAAAGTTCACCTTCAAGTTTGACATTTGTTCAAAGAGTTGTATCACCAGTTTCATGTTTCTGATGAAACTCACATTACTTCCTTCACAGAACAGAATCGTATCATCAGCAAACTGTAAGGGGGTGAGGGGGGTTTCCTCCCTTCCAACTCTCCAACCTCTAATGAAGCCCCTAGAGTCTGCTCTGTGAATCAATTTCCCCAGAACATCAGCAATTAGTATGAACAAGAAAGGAGATAGGGGGTCTCCTTGTCTTATACCCCTAATGGCTGGAAAGAACCTTTATCTGAGATACCCTCTTCCAAATTAGCAAATGGTCCTTTTTGCTCACCCTCTAATGATGTTTTCAATGCTCTTGACCACTCTCACAAGGGCTCTAAAAATCAATTTATAGAGCCCAGCATTGCCTAATCAGAATGTTGTTTGGGATGCAAAAAGTGTATGAGAAGACTATGTGGAATAGCCTAGGGTTTTATATCTCATTCTCTTTTCATTGCTGCATTTAATTTTACCTTTTCCTCTATTGAAAGTAACAAATTAATTACTTGATCTTGTCATCAATCAAAATATAATAGTTGGAATATTTCATTTCTTATTCTGATCTATAATTGAGCCTAAATACACATTAAAAATGCATTTCTAGGGAACCAATTTTAAGCATCTTTTCACAACATCTGAGAGAGAGAGAGAGAGCAGCAGCAGCAGCAGCACTGCAAATAACAAGTTTAAAGACCTTAAAACCAACTAATATAGAATTTATAGTGGAATGGCCATACCTGTGCATTGATCCCTTGCTCATTCAAATATACCCGACCATGAATATCAAGACCCTGACAAAATTAGATGATATAAAGATAAAATAAGGGGCATAACTTGCTTTCTTTATGAAACATTCACAAGAAAAGGACATTTATTTCCAGCCTACATGGAGGCAGCACAGGAAGGATAAATACACATATAATAACAGGTTCGACAATGTGTGCTTATAGAGATCCATAACATTGTAACCAAGTTTTCAACTAGCCAACCAACTAGGAATTTTAAGAACCATAGACAACTAGACAACCAGTTGGGCAATGCACATTAGTTAGTCACTCTGGCATAACTAATTATGAACTTAAATCAAAGTCATGAAGTGGCCACTTCATCCAATTAGTTTCTTTATACCATTTATGTTTGTTTTACTGCAGATAGAGAGGCCACTTTTTGTTTCCTTATACCATATCTACAGATAGACATGCAAAAGGTATCAGACCAAGTCTGTGAGAGAGTCCAAAAGAAATTAGAGAAAAAAAAATAAAGATTCATTATGAGGATTTCAGGGTCTTTTTCTCTTCCTAAAATTGTAGCAATGGGCTAGTGAAGGCACTGCCCTGATCCAAGGGGGGCAGAACAGAAAAGCTGACCTTTCAATTCAACTATTCATCACCTAGACACCATCCAGTTCATGCTTTGCCTAGGAAAGATAAAATGATGATGCACTTTGAAACCTAAACCACACTTATTTGATGTGTGAACTAGTTTAAATTCCATACACTTCCATGTAAATCTGTACATTCGGTTAATAAAATCTTCTTGGTTGTTACTGATCAAAAAAAGTACTTCAAATTCCATGATGCATCATTAGAAACTCCATATCCTTGATTGCATACAGTTCATCAGTAAACCACTAATCAATTCTAATCATCCAATGCCCTACTGTTTGGATTGACCATACCCTAAAGAATGCATTCATAAAATGTTTTGAACCATATGACAAACAGTTTTTGCAGTCACCAGCATTTTGGCACTCTTTCCAATTGCTCACAGCCAAAAAAAAATCACTTAAATAAAAAGATCATATGAAAATAAATTTGTTATCCATTATGCTTTTATTGGAACTCGTGTCTTCTACCAAGAGCTTTGACCTATAGAAAACCCAAGATGCAGCCTATGAAAAAAGAGCATACAAGGAAGGTGATACAAGGAAGGTGACCAGAGGCCACCAAGAAAGAAGAAAAATCTTACAATCACCAAAAAACAAATTCCAAACCCACAACAACACAACCATAACTAAAGAACAAAACAACCAAATCCCAAACAAAGAACCCAAAAACACAAAAAGAAATCTGAAAACACACAACTTTAAACCCTTCCAGAGAATAGACCCAACAACAAAAATGCTTAACTCCAGCTTAAAACAACACAATCTTTACTCCATTAGTCATCAACTTTAGTAGCAAGCCCATAATCTTCTTTGTGTCTCTGGCATACCTTCTTACTAGGACCTACACCAAATAAACCCCTTTTCAATTAAGCAAAAACTTTCAACACACTTCTGTTATTTATCAAAAAAAAACTTCCAACACCTGCACAGTTCATCATCATCACAATGATCATCATCCATGGCTTATTCCAGCTATATGGGGTCAGCTATATGAATCCTGTTTCACCAATCCATTTCATTTAAAGCCATATCCACGTTGCTTTGGTAGGTCACTTACAGGGACCATCCTAGCTCAGGATGCATATTCATGAGGGTTTGGCAACTGCCAACTTGACGCAACCCTCCTCCTTTATCCAGGCTTGGGACCAGCAGTGTAAGACAAGCTCACATTGGCAGAGTTACCTGCACAGTTCAATGGTTTTATTTTTATACTTCTAAACCATCTAATTGCATTAGGAATCTGTTCAACAATCTTTAAATCCTTTTATTTTGCAACCTCTTTCCTTCCTCAAGACCAGTATCCCCTAATCCCCTTGCAATTCATGACTTCTCAAGATACCTTGAGACTCCTCTTCCTTGAAGTCTTTTTCTTGTGAATTCCCCCTCCCCCCTCCAAAGAAAAAACAAGCCCAAAGATTCACTCACCTCCATCTCTGCTTTCACCAATGTCTCCACATCAATTCATCTTTAAATGTCATGAGTTTCATCAATAACAGCCTTCCTCCTCATCCGAATCACTATCTTTACCAGTTTCATAAACACTCTCACCGCTATCATTTAACAGTTTAGTTCTATACATCCTTTTCATCAATAACAGCCACGTAAGACCAATATATTAATAGCAGTAATTGTAACACAAGTGTTTCTAGTATCAAACTACCAAAATAGACAGACCATGTAAGACCAATATACAAATGCACAGGTCAATTCTATGATTCTTGCCTTTTCAAATATTTTCACTTTACCTTTACTGTTAATGATGTTCTTATTACATCTTTTAGTAACCAAGCAAGTATATTTTGCTCTTAGTAACTTAATCCTCCACCGCCAAAAACATAAGAATAAAAAAATGATAAAAAGTAAGAATAAAAAGATAACCAAAACCTCGTACTACAGTTGGAACTCCTACTCCTAAAACTGTAAATTCGTAATTTTTGGAGTGAAAAAAGGAACCTGTCTCAAATGATTCAGGAGCATAGTTTGTGTTTCCAAACTCAATTCGGAGGTGCTGTGCATGTATTAATTAGCTAGTCCTCCTATGCACCAGAACACGAAAATGTCTTCCTTTTTAGGCTCAGAACGAAAACTATCCTATTAATTAACATTTAATCATGCACTCGAGAGAGTTTCAGGTCCATTTGGTAATGCAAAAATTGGCCAGGAATGTCAAACTTTCGAATGAAATGTAATTTTCTCACATTTAGAAATTAGAATAAAGAAAGTGGTACAAGTTTCTGAAAATTCTTGTTTCTAGCACCTATTCTGCGATCAACTTAATTCCAGTACTTACATAGCTCCGAAGGTAATTCCGGTACTGATTTTTTTCTTTTTATGTAACAATGTTATTAAGATGATTGGATAGAACATTATAACCCAAACGATGCGTTATGGTAGTACAATACACAATCAAAACTACGAAGTGCAAAGACGAGGGAAAGTGGGATAAGTGGAATTAAACCTGCATGAAGGAGAGGTGTTTTGCAACTTCGTCCTCTGGATTTTTGATAAAGACAAAATGATAGAAATTTACAACTATAAAGTCATCATCCGAAGCTTTAATTCCACCGAAATTGGAAGAAAATGCAGACCCACGTTGGAAATCTTGCCTCTTATCCTTCTCCGAAAGTGCAATTGAAAAAAATCTTTTGAAACCGAGAGAAATACATAAGACTGGCGAATCGAAATTTTCGCCATGCCTGAACTCTAAAGAAGCTTTATTTCTTCTTAGAATCAGATTGGTCGTTGGAAACGGAAATGGGATGGAACATCGCAACCGGAGAGAAGCATGAGCAGCTGATGGCACTGTGCACGCTCTCATCCTTTTTCCCTTATCTGTTTACGTTTGCTCCGTGTCCCTTCCCAAAGCTAATAAAACAATAAAACCACTTTCATTGTTTGAAAGAAGTCTAAAATCGCGCGCTAAGTTTAATAACAAAATATCAATAAATAATATATAAATACACAAAAAATATATATTTTAATCACATATAAAAAAAGGAAATACGTTATAATTAATAAAGTAGCTTGCATAAATTTAATACAATTTTATTAATAATGCATCAATCAAAATCTAATAGATATATTATAGATTTTTATCAACTATTATATACAAAAAGTTAACATTATCTACTTTCTAATAAAGTCTAACGCATGAAATATATACAACTATTATATTTGAATTATTATATCAATTATTATCTATTTTACTATTTTAATTTGTAACTTTAAAAAATTAATTCTCAAATGTTTGGTAAATAATACTTTTATTTTTGTAAACAATAAATATGTTACTACGAAATATAAATTAAAATAATAATTAAACATTTATAAAAATATACAATACTAACTTAATGTATATCATATTTATTAAAGTTTTTAATACATGTAAAATATGAAAATTCATACTTTTTATTACTGAAATAATTATTATATTATTGTTTTTTTATTTTTATAAATTTTCTTAAATAAAAAATCATTTTTTTGTTATAAGTATATATTAGTGGATTTGATAGATTCAATTTATATTATAATCTCAAATATTTTGTAAACAATATTTTTATTTTGTAAATAATAAATACCTTATTAATTAAAGCAAATTAAAATACTAATTAATAATTTATAAAAATTTTAAGAAACATTTCATTTGCAAAATTATTAATTTTATGTACTAAAATAATTATTCTATTATTAATATTTTTATTTGTATAAACTTCTTTAGATTAAAAGTCATTTTTTGATGTAAATGTAGATTTGATAAATTATTTATTCAATTAATGTATAAAATACTATTTTTGAAAATTATTCTTTTTAATCTTAGTCTCTTGAAACATATGTTATCTATTTGGATTGCATGTGAACATTAAAGTTAATGAAAGTTATTTTTTCACTAGTAATTAAGCACGTGTGTTTCACTTGTAGTAAATGCGCATGTGCATTGCACATTGAAATTTTAAATTGTAATAATATTATATTAAAATAACAACTATTAATATTATAATTACTATTATTAAATTTTATTCCATTTCTGTCATAAATAAAAATAATTTTTATTTTAACAATTACTTTTATTTAATATGATGAATCTATAATATTACAAATGTTCCCAAATGTTTTTGATGAAATTTTGTACTTTTTCTTTTTTTTTGTTTTATCTTTTTTTAAAATATTTATTATTCAATTATGACATTATGAGTTTCTTTGGAAAGTTTGATCATTGACCTACCATTCTAGATAAGAAAATAGCTTTGTTTCTAATCAATTTTAAATTATATATTTCATTTGCATTATATAAATATTTTTTCATTATCACACTTAATTTTTGTTTGACATAATTAATATATTATTTTGATTACTTATACTTTTTTATTTTTTTTCCAGATTTATTATTTAACTATCATATCATCAATTAATCCATTTGACCCAAACCACTAATCAACTCCCCAAAAGAAAAATAGTTTGATTTCTTGGTTGATATTAAATTTTGTATTACATCTACCATTATTGATAAAATTATTTTTTATATATAATTCTTATTTTTTGTTCAATATAATGAATGTATAATATTAGAGATGTGCCCGATACTTTATTTTTTATAAATATATAACATTAGATATGTGCCCAAATTTTTCTCTATTTTTTTGTCAGTGTGATTCTTTATATTTTCTATTTTTAAAAAGTTTATTATTTGACTATGACATCATTTCATTCCTAGGTTGATTTTAAATTTGGTATTATATTTTCATCATTAATAAAAATAATTTTTACATTTCATACATATTTTTGTTTTGTATAATGAATATACAATATTAGAGGTATTCCCAATTCCTTTTTTTTGTATTATGTATTTTATTTATTTTAATTTTTTATTATTTATTTATGACATTATTTATTAACCCATTTGACCCCAAATGGTCGAATTGCTTACCCACCACCTAGAGGGAAGAAATAGGTTTTATTTTCAAATTACTTTTTAAAATATTTATTTTTATACTATCAAAATTAATGTTGTGGATTTAACTAGTCGAATTTAGTGATGAGAAAAATATATCTTAAATATAGAATTTAATGAGAGAATATACCTTAGATGTGAGATTTAATGGGATAGAATAGGAAAATGGTTTTATTTCCAATTGGTTTTAAATTTTACATTCCATTTCCATCATTAAGGAAAGTATTTCTTATTTATCATACTTATTATTATTTAATATGCCAAATATATGATGTTAAAAATGTTTCCAGTTTTTTTCTAATTTTTATATTTTTTGAATTTTATTATTTAATTGTGACAACATGGATTGGCCCATTTGACCCATAATGGTTTAATTTCTTACCACCACTAGATGAAAACACTATTTCTATTTTATCCAGATAGATTCTAAAAGTATTAGTTTTTATGTTATTGGAATTATTAATTTATTATGTATGGATTTAATTAATATAATTTAATAATGAGAAGAAACAAAAATGTCCTAAATATATGATTCAATGAAGGTGTATACAAGTTAATACCTTAAATGTTGGATTTAATGAGAGTGAATTGGATATCTTAAAACTACCTCTAATCTACTCATTTAATATCAATAACCAATTACCTTACTTGCCCTCATTTTTATCAATAAATTTGAGTATGGAGGGGTAAATTTTGTCCTTAGCAAACTCCAAAAATATTATTGAGGATATTCGTGCTTTTTAAAGTAATATAGATTCAGCATCATAAAATAAAATGCGGCATAGACATTTAGTGGTTTAAGAATGCATTTAAGTCTTGGTTTGGAAACCTAGTTCCAAATCTCACTAGTTTCACTTTTTTTCAATAAACACAAATCGTTGTTTCTATGTGTATTGGGTTGGCCTGATAACACAACTTAGTGGATACACCATAAGTCATAGCGTATATTGTACTAGTGTAACTTGATTCCAATATCAAGAATCAAGAGTTCTTTACTTCTTCAGAGGCTTTGGAATGGGAATCCCATTCCCAAAGGTCCTAAAATTATCATTCCCCCACTCCACTAAGAATGGAATCGAAATTTTAACAAACAACTAGAATCAAAATTGGTAATTCTCATTATAATTCCAAGCACCTCCTTTACAGAATCAAATGGGCCCTTATGTTATAAGTTAGGTGCCATGTGTTTGGTTGGAATAGCTAAACACATGGGAAATTACCTTTGCATTGTTTGTTTACTAAGAAAGTTTTGAATAAAAATAATGAAATGTCCTATTATTGGTTTGAAATTGGATTTGCTCCTCACAAAGTGTGCCTGCACCAATCTCACACCGCATCACAATCATGCATGGAGAACATTGGATTTCAGATTAGCTAAACACTTCACAACATTAAGCAGGCTGTGGGACCAATTACACATCTCCACCTCAACATTGCATGCTGACGGCCTTCCCATGTGCGGACACTCCAACAATGAGATTGAGACTAATTACAAATTTTGCTTTTAAAATTTTATTTGTCTTGAAAATTAATTTTCATATCTTCATAAATCGTAACCCTAACCCCTCTTTTTTCCCTTTCTATTCTCCCTCTTCAACGTTACCACTTACCTCCCCCTCCTGCCAATCACTGTTAATGGTTCTACAACCTCCACCACCCTCACTCTTTCTCATATATTCTTATAAAATTCATTAGCTTTGAACCTTGCATGGGAAGTTGACAAATGATAGTTTCAATTGTTGAATGGCTTCTTGTAAAATTCTTTGAAGCAATGAAAAACATCGTAGCCACGAAGAGTTTGAACAAAATCTCACCAGATAATCAGCCTTATAATGGTCTCTTACACCTAACCCCTCAGCCCATAATCATTAAAACACTACCCATAGGAAAGGACCTCTTCCCTGACTGTAAAATGTAGCACCACACTATCTGCTTGGTGTATCCCAAAATTAAAACCTTTTGCAAACCTTTTTTCATAAAATAGTAACATAGCATATAAATACATTTTGCAAATTAGATTTCAAACAAGTTGAAATCCACTATCGGCAATTCAAGTTTCCATCAGAGAGAGTTTAAACCTTGTTATCCATGATAAAGGGGTCGATCCTATCACTATGATCACCCACTCAAATAATTTCCCAAACTTCCCTGACATGCCAAGATATTTGACCTTTGATCTCACTGGTTGGCACATAAAAAATAGTCCAGTCCAAAACCTAGTGCAATATCATAATCAAGTCTGGGGTTAAGTGCAACTTTCCAGTTTTGTCCATCCATTTATAAGGTCCATGGCATAACTAGAAATTGGTTCGGGTTGAATGTTTCTTTTAAACATCCATTGGCTATGCTTGGGATCTAACCCTAGCAGCTGAGACAAGCAACTCCACCAATTCAACAACACACCAACTAGTAGGTCTAGGATCCCTCGTCAAATTTTAGTGGGGCTAAAATCCAACACATTTCTAAACTCAAGCACACCAATTTAAATAGATTAAAGCATACATAAAACAATGTGGTCAGTTCAATTACCAACATACATAGTATACTAAAACTCACATCTAGATAGACTCCAAACACATCAGATATTACAACCTACCATAAGAAAACAATTAAGAGAAAAAACCACAATAGGATAAACAATTCATTATCTCCTCTATTCAAACAATATTTAATCTTTGAGGAAAAAAAAACAACAAAATGAACAACAAGATTATTGGCAACATTATATGAGTAAGAAGAGAATGATCAATTTAAACAACTGGTCTCTTTTTCTAAATAGCTAAACAAACATCCTTTCGAATAGTCATACAACATTCACAATAGAAGGATAATCTATGATAGGTTAGAGAAGATTTTTAGGATTCTACATAAACCGATTCAGCACTGACCTCATTAT